AAAGCTATATCGGGATAACTCACAGACCTTTTCATTGGTCCAAAATTATGTTTCTATTGTCAGTGGTAAAGTAAAATTTAATCAAAGACCAATATCTTTTGTCTTTTTAATCAGAATCACCTTAAGCAAGACAGTAATGCCACTAAAACACAAGGGATTACAGGGTGTGAAAGAATCAGGAATAAAAGCATCAATGATGATCAGAAAGAGAAGAGAGTAATCAGGTGGACCTTAGATAGCAATTGACATTACATTTAAATTTTTGCAGACCAAAGCCAATTAGAAAGCAAGGAGCTAGAAGGGAATTTTACAAACGAGAAGTGTGAGAGAAGAAATTGTTAGCATAGAACTTACAGCTGTAAATTGATGAAATCTCAATGCCAGTCTAATGCTGTTCTTAAATTCAAAAACTCTAGGTACCATAGCCAATAGCTCATTCAAACAATTATCATAAAAGTATTTAAAGAAAAGACATAGAAAGGCAACCTTACAGTGATGGGAAAGTGACTGGAGCTAAGCTGCCAAATCAGGACCAGTAAGATCGCAGATTTTTCTTTGGATCTTATCAAGGAGCCCAAGGTAAATGGTAGGGGCACCGGACCATATGTGGCAGCAATATTCTAAACATGGACAGTTAGTTATTTGCCATACGTGATAAACATTTAGGTGATCATGTATCTTTTGATACATGACTGACAAGGCAGATTTTTTCCTACAGTATGTTGCCATTTCTTTCTATGGTAGACCATTTGCCATCCAAAGCTTTAGAACCTGGTCTGTCTTGCTATTTACGCATAGCTTGGGGGAGAAGAAGAGGATTCATACCTTTCCCAAGGGTATTAGAATGTAAGTGAATGAAATGGATTCGACTGGAATTCCAAAAAATGAGCACTCACTCCTTAACTGCACTTGCTGCTGGAACAATAAAAACTGAAATAAGTCAGCATGCATTAAACTGTGTCAGATCTGGCTGAAATTCAAACTTAGAATTTGTTGTTTCATAATTACATTCAATCTTTTAGCCTCAATGGCTATGTACCGGGTATGATGGATCAATTGTCGCCATTTTATATCTTTAATTTTTTGCATCCACATTGTTTATTTTTGATTTTCCACAGTATAGTAGGGTCAGTTGGGCACCATCTGAGAGAAAAAGTGCACTCCACCAGAAATTTGGAAACAGCATGCTGTAGTGCTTGGCATTCATGCCAGAAGCTCCAATACAAACATTTCAGAGTGTTTGGGGGTCGATCTGAGAACAGTGTAGAGGTTTCAGAAAGAGTTGGACGAGTGTAATGATGATTATGAAGATGTTTGGAGTGATCACTAGTGATGGGGACATTATGCCTCCATTTGTCTTCCTACAGGGCCTCAATCTCAACATGGAGGCCTACATCAAGTGCCGTCCGTGGGTAGTGCTGCCTTGGGTCAACAGGGTAGCTGCTGGAAGACTCTATTGTAGCAGCTGTGAAACAATTTCTGTGACCACATCAGCCTTTACATCTGGCCACCTAAATCCCTAGACTGCAACCCCCTTGATTATTATGTGTGGGGCACAGTTGAGTGAGAGACCAACAAAACTCTTTGTAATACCAAAGATAAACTGAAGGCAAAGATTATGGCAGAATTTACTAACCTAAATAAGGAGACCATCCAGGAGATTCCAAAGTTGTCTGGAGGCTGTGGTTGAAGCAAATGGCAATTTTATTGAATAAATTTACTCTTTAGTATTTCAAGATATTCTTGTGGAATTTTGGTAAATATATTTGTTTAAATGAGATGTCAGTGTTATTTTCATTTTTGCATAACTTAGATGACAATTTATTCATTGCACCCTGTATGTCAAAAGGATGAGATCATGAAAACCCTGCCATATTGCTACGACTTTAGACAAAGCAAATTGTAACTTGATACTTGAAAGGAACATGTTTTCAATGAAAAACAGTTGAAGCAGAGAGAGAAAGCCAGTATCAAGTCAGTCTACTGTTCAATTGAAGAGAGATCTCTGTTCACTTGAGAAAACTACTACCACCTGACTAGCCATTCCCTCAAATTAGACCCTATTGCTTCACACATCTAGGAAAACTCAGATGTTATCTCTGGTTAATTTGTAATGATCTCTTGTTAATTTATAATCAGCTTCTAAAAATCGAGTGCTTATATAGAGAATAGAGTACAAAGAGGTGGCAAGATTCAGGCGATTAATACCTCATAAGAAAGCCTTTCATCTGTTGAGAATGAAAATGGTGAAGTTCAACAATAAAGGTTGAATCAACACATCAGCTTGTTTGTCTTAGTTCCTCTTTTACATATTGAGATTGCTCAATATTCAAAAGGTTTGACTCAACTTCATAACATCCCCGGCATTGCTGTGGGACAAAAATGAATAGCTGTGCCTTTTAGTAAACTGAAAATGCAGGGAAACAATTTGATTAGGATCAAAATCTGTTCAGTCAATAATCATAATGGTCTCTGGCTGAATCCAACGTTCACATGAAAGCAATTGGCCATTGAGGTTGGTATACATTAGAAGAACCTCCTCTAATACTTTGAATGCTTTTGTACAACTGAAATGTATGCTTATAAAGGTTACAAAGTACTCTACATAACTCAGAATGAAAAACCTTACAGAACATTCAACATCTGATGCTTCTAGAATTCACTGTGATGGTCTAGTATCTTCTTAAGAACCAAAGTTGTCACATTCATTGAATATCAGTGTCATTTATGACCTATCTGAGCATCCCAATGATTTAACCCATATCCCGCTGGTATTAATTTGAACTGATGATTTTTTCCTGTATATCTAAACTATAATTTGTGTAAGTGAAAATTTTTACTGAATTATGTCGTGTCTCTTACATTTTCTACATATGATGTTGATCGCTCGACATGCATGCATCTTCTGTAACCAAAACAAAATTAATATTATGACCTGTCAGAGCCACTCCTGCTCAAAAAAACAAAACCTTAATTTTGAGCTGACTAAAAACTATATGCCCAAATTCAGACTCAACACAGATCAGCATTTGATGTCAACACCAACACACTGAGAGCAAGACACCACTGATAACAATGATGGCCATCACCAATGTTTATTTCATGTCTAATTTCACTGCTCTCTCTCCCTGTTACCTTAGCAACAACAACAGATAGGTTACCAGATTTTTTATATCTGTAAACAAATGTTCCTTTGCTGAGGTGGAAAAAGAATTAACTTCCACCTCAGTAACAACTACAACAACATTCTGTCTTCCAGGTTACCCATTCCCACCTCCATAACAAATATATTTGAAGAATTATAACTTTCCATTTGAAGTCAAGGAAAGGTAAATTTTAAGGACAATGGCCACAATATATGGAAAAAAATGTCAGTGTAAACTGACACCAGGAGGATATGGATTAAAGAAAGATATAATAAGTCAGAGAAGGAGGGAGGTAAAATGAGTAAGTGAAATATAAAAGAAAGAAGAAAAAAAAGTAAGGATGAAAGTGTAAGACTGAGAGGGACTTAGAGAGGGACTTAAAATGAAAAAGAGTGAGGATATGACTGAATAAAAGTGTAAAAAAGAGAGAGACTAAAAAAGTAAAAGAAAAACTAAGAAAGACCAGTTGAATAAGAAGACAATAAATGTAGAAGAGGAAATGAGAAGATGAATAAAAATGTTGAAAATGGAGTAGAAGTGTGTGAGATATTTTAAAAGAGAGAGATGAAGATGAAAAAAATCAAGAAAGAGTAAAAGAGGAATCAATTCACAGGGTGACAAAATCAGTATAATTTATAAACTAAATGCGAAGAAAAAGAGAAAAAAAATAGGAGAAAAGTGAAGAGAAAGGTGTGAAAAAGTGAAGGAAAGAGAAAAAGTGAAGGAAAAAGAAAAAAGAGAAAAATATTAAGGAAAAAGAGAAAAGAAAAGAGAGAAAAAAAATGAAGGAAAAAAGGCACAGTGACAAAAAAGAAAAAGAAAAAATTTAAAAAACAGAGAAAGAAGGGAAAATAAAGAAAAGAAAAAGAGAAGAAAAAAAAGAAAAAATGTACAAAGGAAGAAAGAGCTTAAGTTTGTGAAAGTCAATAAATAATTATTACTTTCTTGATATTTACTAAGATGAGTGTAGTAAAGTCCAAGGTCAAATAGGCAAAGGAAGATCATGTTGTGCCAATTTTACAAATGAGGAGCACCTAGCTGCCAGGAAGATCAAACTTCAAAATATACAATTACCTGAGCTGTGAGACGGAAATAATTATTATTTTCTTGTTTCTTTGATATTTACTAATGTCAGGTAACTATGAGACAAGGCTAAATGGGTTGGGGAGGAGTGAATGAGGGTTAGAAATCTACAAAGTAGGGACGGCTTGCCTGCCTACCTTGAAAATCGGTTTTCAAAATCCTTTTAGCTGTAAACATACACTAATCATTTTGAAATGTAGAAAATACACAATTACTTTAACTAAAAGATATTTACTTAGAGAAACAGAAGTGAAATAGAGTGTGATACAGGAAAGTTTAGAAGATTGTAATGCACCAAGTGGTAAAGGTTTACCTACTTAGAAAATCAACCTTGGAAATTTTTGCCTTTTATCAAGACTCAAACACTGACCAATGCAACTGGAGTGAAATATGCAACTATCTTAGCTATGAGACAGGTCAATAATTAGTAAGAAGTAACTGTCTTGTGATCAGCAATAAACCTGCTCATTAACTTGAGTGACAAGCCTTTATCATATAATCAAAATGCACTGAAGCAACATGGATCAAGAAACATCAAGTTCTAAAAGTCTCTTTTCAAGCAACCAAAATCAAAATATTGTGTGCAGCTGTGGCTAATATTTGAATAGTACCATATAAGTAAAGATATTTATTTACATGTAGACTATTGTCCTCATCTTTATTGTTGCTATTACAACATTTCAGTCATTATACCCCATGGCTTTCATCAGTTATATGTCAATCCAGGTAACCTACAGGGAATCCTGAATGGAAGCATTTCTTTAATCTGGCTTACAGCCATATCACTTTGAAACACCAATTCCCATATGATCACCGATGTTAAACAATGTTGAGTCTGGTTAGTACCTAGATGGGTGATGACTTGGGAATACCAGGTGCTGTAAACTTGGATGTGTGGATGGTGTAATGGATAATAGTTGGAATTATTAATCAGAGAGCCAAGTTCCAATTCCTATTGGGTTCGTTATATTCACATGCATAAATACCTTTGCTATGGGTTAATTAGTAAAACTTGTATCACTAAAGCATTATTATACTAAAGCATTATAGTTTAACACTATTGTATTATTATTATTGCTTTTTTGCATAAGTAATAGTAAATTTTTGTTTTTTTAAATCATTTCACTTCAAGCAAGGAAATAAAGCCATTAAGTCACAAGTAGTTACTGTGTGTGAAAGAATATGAGAAAAAGGAAACATTATTAAGTGAAGAAGATAATGATTGACATTACATTTAAATGTTGAATGGAAAACAAGAAGCTGGAAGAGAGTTCCACAAATGAGAAACATGAGAGAAGGAACTGTTTGCATATAATTTATGGTTACAGTGAACCAATATCTTAAGTTAGCTTTTTAAGAAATTTAGGTGAAACATTTTTACTTTTGTAATTTAGTAACAACTAGCAGTAGAGCCCGGCGTTGCCCGGGGATGTAACAGTAAGATATAGATCAAGTATCGACCATCATAAAGACTGAAAAATAAAATTGACAAAGATTATTGTTTAAGGTTGACGGACACGTATGTCTTAATAATTTTTTTTTTTTTTTTAAGAATTGGTCAAACCCAAACTCAAACAAAAACATTGTTTTCAATCGTGTTTTCAAATTGATTTTGTGCAAAAACAATTGTGTTTTTCCAATTTTTGGCGCTGTCAGAACCACCGCTAGGTAATTTTACGTAGTCCTGTGAAGTTTTGTTGAAATCGGTTGAAAAATGTAGGAAATCCGATCCAATATATAAACGTACAGACACACACACACACACACACACACACAATCTGCATTTTATAATAAGTAAGATGATCTAACAAATCGTATTCATTTAGTAGCCTTTCTGTAATCTTTTACAATTTATGATTTTTACTTATTGAATACAATAAAAATATTTGGACACCATGTGTATTTAAAGTAGTTTCCGGTTATTATCTTTAGTTAGGAGGACTTGTGTATGTTTAGATTTCATCTGTTTACTTGTTGTGTATCGTTCTCTGAAAAAAAAATGCTGAATCACTGGAAGTTAATGGCATTCGGATGTTTGAGTAGCCGGCAGTAACTTCTGGCCGGGTGCGATACACTTAACTGTGCTTTCAAATTGATTTCATGCAAAAACAATTGTGTTTTTCCAATATTTGGTGCTGTTATAACCACCGCAAGGTAATTTTATGTAGTCCTGTGAAGTTTTGTTGAAATCGGTTGAAAAATGTAGGAAATCCGATCCAATATATAAACGAACAGACACACACACACACAATCTGCGTTTTATAATAAGTAAGATAATGAGATTGAGTAAAGCTAGTAAAAAAATAATATTACTAAAAATGATTCATATAAAAAGTTACAATAATCAAATGGAACAAAACTAGTAATAAAATAATATTAAAAAGCTTCATCCTAAAAGTAACAATAATTTGAAATAAAACAATGAAATAATAATAGTGAAAATGTTACATTTAAAAAACAATCTTTTTACTAAATATTCATGAGAGTCACAATTTTGTGATGTTCTTAAAATTTGATTCTATTTTTTAGTAAACTAGATTCTAAAGCAATGAAAAAGCAGTCACTTATAATGAGTTCTAAAAGACGTAAAGTTGACTTTGAATGCCGTATTTTTAAGAAGGAATGGACAAAAAAGTATTTCTTCATAAAAAATGGTACAAAAGCGGTGTGCCTGATTTACCACAATACTTGTACAGAATAGAATTTGGAAATATATTTTCAGTCAAAACATGGCAACTTTGGTCAAAACTTTTCCACACAAGAACTGCAAAACAAAGCAATGGACATGGTTAAAAACAGAAATGCTAAAAAGACATACTTTTTAAATGCACATCGACACATGAGCTTGCAACAAAAGCAAGTTTTTTATTGGCAAATAAGATCGCAAAACATAACAAGCCATTTTCTGACACAGAATTTGTGAAAGAATGTATGATTGATGCAATTGATACTCTGTGTCCAGAAGTCAAGTCAAAAGTAGAAGCAATTTCATTGTCACAGAGAACTATTGTTCATAGAATAGATGCCATTGCTGAAAACTTGCATGGAAAACTTTTGTATACTGCAGATAAATTCAAGTGGTTCTCAATCGGTTTAGATGAGAGCACAGACATAGTAGATACTGTACAGTTGCTGATTTTCATTTGTGGTATTGATGAAAATTTCAACATCACCAAAGAACCGTTGTCAATGGAGAGTCTCAAAGACACTACTACCAGGAATGATTTGTATGAAAGTCTTGTATACTGTTGGGAAAATTCACAGTTATGCCTTGATAAATTTGTGAGCATAACAACTGATGGGGCACCTGCACTAACTGGGACACATAGTGAACTTGTCAAATGGCTAAATGACAAGATTCAGTCAAACTTCCTACTTCACAAGTTGCTTTCATTTCAATGCATAATTCACCAAGAAAGTCTTTGCAAAGCAAAATTGGATTTTAAACATGTGATTGATCCAGAGGTATGTGCAGTAGATGTGATAAGATCAAAGGAAGTAAACTAGAGACAGTTTCAAAATTTGTTGCAAGAAATGGAGTCTGATTTTTCTGATGTGTTGTATCACACCAGTGTAAGGTGGCTAAGTCTTGGAAAAGTTTTAAAAAGAGTATGGGACTTCAAAGAAGAGATTTTCATGTTTTTTGAAATAAAGGATGTGGCTTGTGACTTCTCCACCAAAATAAATGATGCAGAATGGATGTGTGAATTTGCATTTGCTAGAGATACCATGCAAAAATGAATAAGCTCAACACAAAACTTCAAGGTAAAGGTGTCTTTGCTCATGATTTGTGGAGGTAAAAATCCTTTCAAAGCTTATATTTTTTGCTAAACAACTGTCTGATCAAAACTTTGCTAACTTCCCCTTTCTGAAAAATCAACCTGTTAAATATATATCTGCACAAAAATACAGTGGACAGATCAAAGCCTTGATGGAAGAATTTGCTAAGAGATTTGCAGATTTCAAAGCAATGGAGCTGCAGTTCAACATGCTGAGGTCTCCATTCACCTCTGACATTGAAACTGCAACTAATGAACTACAGATGGAACTCATAGACCTCCAAGCTGACAATTCTTTGAAGTATAGCTTTGAAAACAAATCTTTAATTGAATTTTATGCATCTCTTCACCCAGAGCATTTCAAAAAATTTGAAAGACTTTTCAAGAAAATTGTTTGTTCTGTTTGCATTCACTTACATATGTGAGCAAACTTTTTCAAGTATGAAAATTATCAAAAGCAAAAGTAGATCTCTTTTGACAAATCCAAATCTTCAAGCAGTATTAAGAATTAGCACAAGCAGCTTGAAGCCAGATATAAGCAAACTAGTCAATGACTGCAGTAGATTACATCAATCTCATTAATTATACACCTACTATTGTTCTTACAATACATTTTTCCTGCATTTTATCAATTATACTATAATACAATTTTTACATTGTAGTGAATTATAATTAAACTTTACAACTAGCAAGATGTTTTTAATAATTAACTAATTATGAAAATTTTTCACTGTTACATTTTTCAAAATACAGTCTTCAAAAGCATCTAGCCCAGTAATCATGTTCATAGTAACAATGTGGCCCACTAAGAAAAGTAATTGCCCACCCCTGGAGTAGACTATGTGGATATGTAGGATAACCCTACACTTGAAGAGGTTAAGATTGTAGTGATTGGGAAAGCATCCCCTCAGGAGGCTGTTCCACACGATTGCTGTTCTCTGAAAGGAACTGTTCGAATGGAAATTCCTGCTTACAAATACAATATGGAAAAAATCAGGCAGTTCCATTTCCAATATGGCAACAATACTCCATTTTTTTGGTGGGGGGTTTATAGAGTAAAGCTAGTCATTTAGCTTTTTGAGATTTTTGATGACATATTTTAACTTTTATTATTTAGCAACAAAAATAAAATGGGGTAAAACCAAAAATAAAATAATAATAGTAAAAATACTTTATCTAAAAATTAAAAATAATACAATGGAGTAAAACTAGTAATGAAATAATAATAGTGAAATGGCTTAATTTAAATTAAAAAATAATTGTATTTATAAGAAAAGTTTTTGACACAACCAAGAAAGGATTAAAAAAAATTCTAATGGTTTTTGGGAAGGGAGTTGGGCCAAAAACTTTTCAGCACCACCTTGTATTTAGTTCATGAGAATTTTAGTCAATATTCCTAAAATAGATTATAGAAATCAAACAGGATAAAAGAAAATTAAAGCACTTCAAAATATAAGAAAAGTCTAAAAAGAGAAATATTTTTCTAAATTCCTTGAAAAAAGATTCCTATTACCAAAGGTTCCAAGTTATGGAAAGTGCAACACCAAAATTTGAAGGCGCATTGTGATAGCAAAATATACCTTCCAAAAGCTAAGCAAAGTATTAAGAAACAGAACAATTTCATTAAAAACAAAGAAAAGTACTGAACTGTTATGTAATATTGGTCCTTCTATATGGTAGTGAATGTCGAACAATCTCCTCACAGATGAAGAAGAGACTTGAAGCAACAGAAATGTGGTTCTACAAAAGGATGCTGAGTATACCATGGACTGAATATGAGCAACAACAAAGTTTTAGAGAAAATGGAAACAAAAAGGACATTTATACTTAACATCAGAAAGAGAGTTGAAATTTCTAGGACATGTGGAAAGAAGGCTTGGAAAATTTGATACTGACATGACATACTGAAGGCAAGAGGGACAGAGGAAAACAATGCATAACTTACATAATGAGCTTGTGTAAATGATTGGCAGAACAGGGTTTAGGAGAGATAGCAAAAGAGAAAATTTGCTAAGAGCTACAAAAAACAGGAAGTTGTGGAAAGCTATGATTGCCAACATCCTGAAGGGACATGCCACATAGAAGATAAAGAAAAAAAAGGATAG